CAATTGTTATCGATAATAACAAAAAAAATTATCTCATAAAAATAAAAATAAAAATAATTAATAATATTAATAGTAATAAAACAAATATATTATCTATTCTGCTTTTCAAAATAAATTTTTAACTTATACTTCTTATGCCTCATATTAATTGTCCAATAACAATAATAATAACATACCTAGTGAAATCTCATAAGTGGGTCTAAGAAGAATAGAGTGTACCTAGACGTTACCACTATCTCGTGAAGGTAGGGAGACCGTCGACTCATATTAGTTGTTCACATTAATAAAAATAGTTAGCTCAAATTAATTGTCAATTTATGAAATAAAGATAGAAATTAATAATAATGTTTTCAATTTCCCTTACAATTCATTCTTTTTTAAAAGTGTAAACAAGTTTATGAAGTTTTAGATAAAAAAATATTATGGCGTAAAGTAGTAAAAATTATCCTTTTTATTTTTGATTACTTAGCATTGTATCAAAGAAAAAATAGACAATTAATATGGAACAGAGAGAACAATGTTTGGTTAAACTTATGACCACTCTTAATATTGAATTACTATTTTTAGTTTGAATTAAAATATAAAAATGATATGAATTCAAAATATTTTTCTCTACCTCTTAGAGAGGGCCAAATTTGTGTACACTCATGTATCTCAAAATCCCATATATTGTAGAAAGTTCTTATAATGCACTCTCTTCAAATCTCATATATATATATATATATATATATATATATATATGCATTAGAATGTCAAGTTAAACATAGAATATTTTAAAATACAATATAACTATCAATATCAAAAAATATATTTAATCTATTTGTATAGAATTAGAGAAACAAAACAATATTGTGAAGACAAGTGTCAATTACCGTACAATTCAAGTTTGAAAATTATTTTAATGAAATTTTTTTAAAAGAAATAAGAAACTCAATTTTTTTTTTCTTTTTTATCAATCATTTGAATTCAAATTCAAGTTAAATTGTTCAACTTTAGTGAAACTATACTTCCCCATTGTTTGGTTATTTCAATTTAATTTAAATAGTGATATGAATTTTGGATTGTAGTTTTATAGTTTTAATTTAAAATACAAAAATTATATGGATTTATGAAGTTAAGATTAAAATAAGAAATTCAAAAAAAAATAGCCAATAACAGAAAATTAAAAAAAATTGAATATTAATATCACTTCCTACGTGTATTAATTATATTCAATAAACAATTGATTTATCTATCTTCAAGAATAATTCATATTGCATATTTGAATAACAGCCCAAGGATTGGTAGTGTAATGCGCGGGTTATTTAATGATTTGTAAATTGATTATACATTTTTTTTTTGTATAAAAAAAGTTCAATTACATCAAATTAATTAGACATAACTTCTATTTTTTTTTTATAATTTCTATTTATTTAAATTATACTTAAAACTCTCAAATTAAGATCTTATAAAATTGAATTGATGGAATGATTGACATCTCTAATTAATCTAGCTTGATAAATGCATTGTTCGATAGAAGAGGTCTGCATCGTATAAAATGAATTCTCAACATAAGATGAAGCACCTCAAGGCTTACATTTCACCTCGTATCGGATAAAACGTATCACCACAATTGTACTCACATAGTTGATAATTTTTTCATGACAATTTTTTTTAACTATTAAGTTAATTATTGCAATAATTTTTTGCTACTCGAAACATAATATTTATTAAGTTATTATATTTTATTGAAATTACTTCCTATGTATAAAAGATTACAATTGCTTCAACAAGTTTCAACATGATCGTGAAAAAAACTTATAATTAACTATAAAATTGTATTATAGCAAAAAATCTATGATTATATATTTTTAATATGCCACGACTTTTATAACTTGAAAAAAAATATTTAGCTACAATTTTTTTTTCAAATAAGTTATAGTGGCTGAAAGGTTATTATTACTATGATAAATTCAAATTTGTGGTAAAAATTAATTATCAGCTATGAATTTTTATTATAGAAGAAAATCTATGTCTATTTCGTTTAATTATTGCCACATATTTTATAACTTAAAGCTAAATTATTTATTTAGCTACAAATATTTCTTCAAATAATTTATTGTAGCTAATAGGTTATTATTACTACGGTAAATTAAAATTTGTGGCAAAAAAATAGTAATTAGCTACGAAATTTTACTATAGCAACAATTCTATGGCTATATCATATAACTATTGCCACATCTTTTTATAACTTGAAGCAAAATTATTTACTTAGCCACAATATTTTGTTTCAAATAACTTATTATGGCTAAAGAGTTGCTATTGCTACAATTATTTTTATTGGGTCGCAAAAAAATTCCCACAAATCTTTTTTTAGTATAATATAAAAAAATGGAAAATAAAAATAAAATTGCAAACATAGAATGGAAAACAAATTTATACTCTACTTTTCTGCCGATTCATCCCTTTCATCTGCCAAATCTCCAAACTTTGATTTTTCTGAAAGAGTCACCTTGTAGCTGCAATTCTCAGGTAGTTGTTTATTTTTTTGGTCTCTTAACCTTCAATTTTTCACTATTTGGTTGAATGAATTTGTAAAGTTTCCTTTCAATTCTCTTCATCTTCAAATTCAGTTTTGATCAATAGCAATTTTTTAGATTTAGTTGAATGGGTTTATTAAATAAGCAAAGGATAAAAAGAAGATGGAGTTTCTTGACAATTAATTCTATGGGGTTTTCAAGTTTTGGTCTTTATTAGTTTTACATTACATACAAAAAAGTTTTCATTTTCTTGTCTGTAAAAATCCGAAAAGCAATCAAATTGAAAATACAAATCTGCTACCCAGATGAAGTGAGCTCAAAGAGCAATCTTGAAAATAACAAGGAATTTGTATGCTGTTCAATCAAAAGAGAATTAACTCTTTCAGAATTAGTGTTAATTTAATTCCCCGAAAAGGGGATTTCATCTTAACAGTGACTCTGCAGTCAAGATTAGCTATCCCAAAATCCCCTTTTTCCAAGATATTTTGCAAGTTGTTTGTCAAGTGCAACATCTCAGAGTATGTGAACGCCTATTTTGACTATCTGTTTCAGTGATCTTCCCAGCTGTTATACTAGAAGCTCAAGAAGAATTGGTCGCAACTAACTCATTTAACCGTATTTCCAGGTATCTGAATTTCATTTATTTTACATTGCTCATTAGTTGAATCTTCTAATTTCTTCATTATTTGTATTGTGGCTTGGTAACTTATATATAGAGTAAAAGATCATAGATCATATTTTTTTTAGATTGAAATTGATTGATCATAGTAAAATACATAGGAAGATTGTAAACTTTGGATAAAGTGGTGCATACAAATATACTCTCTTTCCCCCTCTTTTTTTCATCATGTTGTTTCAAATGAATAAAGTTAACCCATTAAAATACATGGGTAGATTTATTTTGTGGTGTTAACTTATTGTGGAGCCTCCTCGCTACTCATCTATGCTTTAAGCGCTTTTCCATGGTAGGAACTCGGAACTCTTCCTATCAGATTTTTGATTCTCCTCATCTCATTTTAGATTTGTGCTATTAGATTCATTCCCCATTGAGACACAATGCTTAATTTCTTGAATCTTTTATCACAATTTTAACAAGCTCATTGTTTTTATTCTCTTCTTTTACCTCCTATTTTTCAATTTAGGCATTTCTATGTTATGATGATTCTTTTATAGACATGGGTTGTTTACCTCTTTGATAAGAGTTTATTGACGCTTTATCTTTCAAACTTTCTTTTTCTACTCAATTTTTTTAGACATCACTTATTCGATAAAAGTCCTGTTTATACTCTTCTAAAACAATTGTCTACTGATTCAAACTCGCTGACTGATGAAGTTACTTATTTTTTAAATTTTCCGACAGCTGAAAATGAAGTATGATTCAAACTTCATATGCTTCGAAACTTGACAAAGAGGAGAGATGCAATGTCCTTATATGTGATATCAGGTAAATTGATAATAATTTTTTGAAAAATATTATTTTTTTATTCTAGCATGTAGAATAGCACGTTACTGTCTGCAATAATTACAGTAAATTAAAGATAGACCGTCAAGTATTTGACCTAATGTAGAAAACAAGAAATTTATATGTTTAGGAAAAGTTGATAATCAGGTTTACATTAAAAGGTTGGTGATCAAGTGTACAATCTTGATCATGATTCTCATGTAAGTTGGTCATATTTTTGTTGCATAGTCTGTGCTTGTGAAAAATAGAAATCATGTTGATCTAGAACAAAAATTAGCTCCAGCTCTTGTCATAGTTGAGATTATACCTAATGATCGCTGTGAAACGAAAGGACTAATCTCAAACATACCCCCTTTATTGCTTGGCAGCTGCATAAGTTTCCAATTTAGAAAGAGAACTTTTAAAAATCAGTTAGAGAAACACCAACATCACTGAATTTCCTACTACGTGAGTTCCTACAAAATCTAACTCTGCTCTATGCGCATGTGTTGTGTAGTAAGAAGCTGCACTTTTATTCGAGGAACTCTTCCATTCTCTAGAAAATCAATAATAGTTGCTAATGTCATCTGTTATCATATAATGTCAAACAACTATATTGGTTGTATATTTGTTCCATCTCTTGCTCATCTTTATGGAATGATATTTATATCCTCTTTTGGTAAAGGAAATTCCTTCTTTAGCAATACATAATGCTTGTGAGCTTCTTGATAGAAGTTATAAATTTTGTGCTTGATGTTTTGTGATATGTGAAGATACCTCTAGTTTCCTTATTTCCTTTTTTGTAATTGCTCCTTTTGCCCCTCTTTACAATGGCTAGTGTTACTTTGACAGCATGTTATATATATCAAAACCTTTTGTAATTGCTCCTTTTGCCCCTCTTTACAATGGCTAGTGTTACTTTGACAGCATGTTATATATATCAAACCTTTTGTAATTGCTTCTTTTACTCCTCTTTAATTTATGTGAATCAGTTCTACACATCATTGTTACCTTCTCCTTTATTAATTAGGTGGCAAATGTTGGAGTTCTTAAAGATTCATTAGTGTCACACTTGATGCAGATACATAATTACCACTAAAAATTGATCACTGTCCCTCTGTTTACAATGTCGAAGAGTGGTGAGGTTTCATGGAAAAGTGAGAATTTGGGCAAGCGGAGATGGGCTTTCGTGGTGTTCCTTGGGATACTGATACTTCATGGATTGGCTATTCTTGTCTTCACCAGAGGATTCCTCCTAACTCGCACTGAACTTTCACAATATAGTCACTGCTCTGATATTCAACAATCTCCATGCTTCTCTCCTTCTCAAGATGATCAAATGGTTAACCATTCTAAAGGGTGCTGGACGAAACCAGCCGTTGATCGAATTGTTATCATCGTTCTTGATGCTCTCAGGTATGACTTTGTTGCTCCAAGTACCTTTTTTGATGAGAAAAAACCGTGGATGGACAGATTGCAGGTGTTGCACGAGTTGGCATCTCAGCCAGGTTCGTTTGCTAAGATCTTTAAAGCTATTGCTGATCCTCCAACAACCAGTTTGCAACGTCTAAAGGGATTAACAACTGGTGGGCTTCCAACTTTTATTGATGTGGGTAACAGCTTTGGCGCACCAGCTATCATTGAAGATAATTTGATTTATCAGATGGCTAAGAATGGCAAGCGAGTTGTGATGATGGGGGATGACACGTGGGTTCAACTGTTTCCTCAACATTTTAATATATCTCATCCATTCCCTTCATTTAATGTTAAAGACCTTGACACGGTAGATAATGGCTGCGTTGAGCACTTGTTTCCATACTTGTATCAAGAAGATTGGGATGTACTTATAGCACATTTTCTTGGCGTGGATCATGCCGGACATATTTTTGGTGTTGATTCCACTGAAATGATAGAAAAGTTGGAGCAGTACAATGGGATTTTGGAGAAAGTTGTTGATGTCCTGGAAAGCCAAAGTGGACCTGGCGGGTTACATGAAAATACTCTGCTTCTTGTGATGGGTGATCATGGGCAAACCATCAACGGTGATCATGGTGGAGGTGCTCCAGAAGAGGTTGAAACGTCACTATTTGCTATGAGTTTGCAAAAGAATCCGTCTTCCTTACCGTCTGAAACTGATAGCTCATCTTGTCGGCTTGACACAGAGAAGAGGAAGATATGCACTAGCTCCATTGAGCAGCTTGACTTTGCTGCAACAGTATCTGCTCTGCTTGGCATTCCTTATCCTTTTGGAAGCATCGGGCGTGTTAATCCTGAACTGTATGCATTAGCTGCTGGTACTTGGAACTTGGACATCTTTACCCCTGAAAGTGGAATAAATCTCTCAGGATCGGAAAGGTGGATGCAGAACTACGTCAATGTCCTCTGCATGAATACATGGCAGGTGAAAAGATACATTGATGTATATTCAGCTTCATCAGTGATAGGATTTTCAGACAAAGATATGTCTCATGTATCGAGCCTCTATGCTCAGGCCCATGATAATTGGTTACATACCAAAGAAGCTGTTTTGAATTGTAAAAGTGAAAGTTGTTCAACATTGTTACCTCAACTGAAGAAGCAAGTTGAAGCTTATTCTAATTTCCTGTCAAGTATTACTGCACTTGCTCGTTCCAAATGGACAGAGTTCAATCTAAAGATGATGGGCACTGGTTTATGCATCTTGGTGCTCTCTCTTTTTGTTCATATTTTCACCATCAAGAAATTGGACAAACTATGCAGTTGCTATCTTCCTCGTGGTGGAGATTTTGTTGTTTCTTTTGAGGCTATTTTTGCTTATGCTGCTGTGCTGATTCGTTCTTTCAGTTTTCTTTCAAATAGTTTCATCTTGGAGGAAGGTAAAACAGCAAGTTTTCTGTTGGCCACGGCTGGAATGCTTCAATTACGTCATGCAATAGTAAAAAAGAAGATGTTTCTTGAAGGATTTCTTTTTGTTCTGGTGGTTCCTCTTCTCAGATTTGGTATTGAACTTGGACAGTCAAAGCAGGCTGTCAATTCTTTATTTTTGAAGTCATTTGCTTCATGGACTGTAAGCGTTGACAACGGCACCAACTTATGGATTTATGTTGCTGATATATTGCCCTTTTTAGCTCTTGTCATTTTAGCTTATATACTTTATTACAAGAGCATCACGCACAGTTCTTGTCGGGGGATATTCAAGTTAGTTGCCGTTGGAACCATATTTGCTTCTTCTCTTATAGCTCTGGCTTGGGCTTTAGATGGTAACTTATTCAGACCAAGCACAATTATTGTGGATATAAAAGCATATTGGATTCCTCGGATCATCTATGTTATTGGTCTTCTACAATTATTTTTATTAGCAATATCTCAACTTTTTGGTAAAGAGAAAACTTCAGGTTGGGAGGAAGATACAATTGTTAAAGTAACTGCCATGTTATCAGCATGGAGTTCAACAATAATCATTTTATCCGGGAAACAAGGTCCTCTAGTTGCTCTAGTAGCAGTAATTCAAGGGTGGTGTGTAATTAGGTTGATGACGTTGGAACGAGCAAAGAATGACTATTACGACAGTTCAACTTCATATTCTTCTCCGGTGGCAAAATGGAGTCTTTTAGCTGTGTGTCTGTTTTTCTGCACTGGACATTGGTGTGCCTTCGATGGCCTGCGCTATGCTTCCGCATTCGTTGGGTTTGATGAATTCAACCTTATTCGTCAAGCTGCCCTGCTTACCATAGATACATTTGGTTTCTCCCACATTCTTCCGGTAATGGGACTTCCACTTATCGTTGCTTGCCGACGACATCCAGAAGTCCAGGCTGAGAAAAGGAAACCACTGTTTTTTCTCCAGTTATGCCAGGTCTATTTGATGTACGGACTTACTATGGCTATATCTATGACACTTACAATTATATGTGTTACGATTCAAAGGCGACACTTGATGGTATGGGGCTTATTTGCTCCAAAGTTCGTCTTCGATGCTGTGGGTCTTCTTCTTACTGACCTCTTCATATGCCTCGCATCACTGTACTATTTTGCATGACCAAATAAACTAGATGAAGAATTAAGCATTATGGAGGTGATCTTTCAGCAATTTCATCGGACTATCTTACAAAGTTCTTCCATTAACATCAGTATATCGTCCTCGCTAAGGTTACTCCCCATACAATTGCATCGGAATATAGTTCATTCTTGGAAAGAGAAGAAAAGTGAAGATAGTAGAGTAACATTTTGTTGTATCCTAATTTATTCTTAGATTTTGATTGATTGATTATAGATTTATAGTGTTACCATTTAAGGCTTTTGCCTTAAGTGGGTAAATTTTGATGGATTATTAAAAGGTTATATTGAGGTTAAATTTTTTTTAGCGAGGGCAAGAACACCTGTGATTTCTTTCCATTAGTCCAAGCCTTACTAGATAGAGTGACTTGGTACTTGTACTATGTTTCTTTTTATTGAAAAGAGCATTTTCACTCAGAAACTGAGCTCTTCTACTTGAGTTATTTCGGTTATTTGCCTCTCCTGTCTTTGAGTGTTTGAATGTTATCCTTTCTTTTAGTCCTGTCTATGAGTGTCCCACTATTATTCTGTGTTGGCGAGAGATATTAGGTACCTCATGAAATTAGGTACCTCATGAAATTAGTCGAAGGTGCACAGCTGCCTCGGATGCCGCCGTTTTAGAAGAAAAAAAAGGTGACAAAGGTTGTTATGTTATGAAGGGAATATCTCCCTTCTTGCTCAGTAACAGAAAATAGAGACAAAATATTGCTGGATGTGTGTCGGATCTTTAAAAAATAATGCATATTTAGGATCCGACATGGGTGTGGTGACATTTTTGGGAGTCCGAGCAACATAGCTTATAATCCCTATTGGACTGGAGAAGTACAAATCCTTCCCACATTTCAGTCAATCTTCTCCTTTGGATTCAAGATATCACAGCAAGCAGGATGGAGTGGAATGTGATTCCAAATTCTGAGCTTTCCTGCTCATGTTTTCTGAGTGCCCAGTTAAAGAAAAAAAGGACTGGGCTTAGGCTTGAAATAAGCACCCATTGCTTATCTAGTAACAAATACTAAACCATTCAAACTGAAATCCATTTAGAGAAGCTTCTGGACTGCTCAACCTCAGCTACTTCTCATTTCTCAACCTCATTTCAGTTGAGTAGATGTTCAAGTGGGGGATAAAAGGCTAGGATAACATCAGGAGTGGGTGTCAGATCACGACATTTAGTTCTCTTCTTAACCATTCTAACATATTTGTGATAAAGGCAAAGATAAATAGCGAGCACAAGGAGAGTTGTTTCACATGAGCTATTTTCTAGCATATAATTTACGAGCACATTATTCAGATTGGGATAAAATTTCACTCATCAGACTTCTGTTACTCTGCACAAACATCAGAGTGACCCGGGGATAAATGGACATCTGAAAGATTGTAGGAGTAAAATCTATTGCAGCTCAGAGACGGCCTCTCAAGCGTTACACCGGAAAGAACTAAAAGAACAGTAAACACGAAGATCGCTAATACAAAACTACAACTTATATGCAGTGGCAACCAAAATCTCATTCTTTTGAAACCTGAAGATGGACCATTTGAGTGTAATCATTGATCACAGATGCCTCTGGTCCAGATAAGCCAAGCCTCTGAAACAAGCCATACCTGCCATCTTCAACAATAGGACTTGATGCACGAGCAGGATCGTAGCTCATCTGGTGAGTTAATGAAGGACCAGCCACAGGTGGAAGCTCCCAGTAAACATCTAAAACTGACTCTACAAACCTACTATTTTAAAAATGTTCTGCATAAGAAATGGCCTTATGCTGTGGTTAAAATCATCCCGCATCTCCCCTCTCACACCCCACCAATCTTCACCAGGACCGGAAAGTTCATCAATATCAACAGCCTTCTCCCAGAATTTCTTCCTTAGGTTCCTTGTAAATATCCATGACTCTTTTGTAAATTTTGGAGGTGGCCAACATAGCCCTGAATGCTGAGGAATACAACTTTTACTGATTTAAAAAAAAAAAAAGGCACAAATATTTTCACGAATTGAAAAGACATTCGTATAGAGAATTGGCATGGTCTAGGCATAGCATAACAAATTTACTCATATTACCCAGATCAGAAAACTCTGCAAACAAAATTGTGGCAGCCATTGGTCTGTTCTCTTTGTAGAAGATTTTGCAATTTTGGGTACTGTAGGTGCGTTAGGACCTAGGAGGTTATACGGGCTATTAGTAGGATGAGCAGGGGAAGAGCGACCGGACCCGATGAGATTCCGGTGGAATTTTGGAAGAGCACGGACAAGGCAGGCATAGAATGGTTAACTGGGCTGTTTAATGTTATCCTTAAGACAGCAAAAATGCCTGATGAATGGAGGTGGAGTACAATGGTTCTGTTGTATAAAAACAAGGGTGATATCCAAAACTGTAACAACTACAGGGGTATCAAATTGTTGAGCCATACTATGAAGATTTGGGAGAGAGTGGTGGAGATGAGGGTGAGAAGAGGGGAGTCCATCTCTGAGAATCAGTTTGGATTCATGCCGGGACGTTCGACTACCGAAGCCATTCATCTTATGCGTAGACTGGTAGAAAAATATAGAGAAAGGAAGAGAGACCTACATATGGTGTTCATTGACCTTGAAAAGGCCTATGACAAAGTACCGAGGAATGTCCTCTAGAGGTGCTTGGGGTCTAAAGGTGTCCCGATGATTTATATTAGGGCGATAAAGGACATGTACGGTGAAGCCATGACTCGGGTTAGAACAGTTGGAGGAGACTCAGAACATTTCCCGGTTGAGATGGGGCTGCACCAGGGATCAGTCCTTAGCCCTTTCCTATTTGCTTTGGTGATGGATGAGTTGACGCGGTCTATTCAGGAGAAGGTCCCATGGTGTATGTTATTTGCGGATGACATAGTACTGATTGATGAGACGCGGGACAGAGTTAATGCGCGGTTGGAGGTGTGGAGACAAACGCTGGAGTCCAAAGGGTTCAGGTTGAGTAGGACTAAAACATAATATTTGGGGTGCAAATTCAGTGATGTGTTGGATGAGACAGATGTGGAAGTGAGACTTGCCGCACAGATCATTCCTAAGAAAGAAAGTTTTAAGTATCTTGGGTCTGTAATCCAAGGGAGTGGTGACATCAACGATGATGTCACACATCGCATTGGGGTTGCTTGGATGAAATGGAGGCTTGCCTCTGGAGTATTGTGTGATAAGAAAATTCCACCTAAACTTAAAGGTAAGTTCTACAGAGTGGTAGTTAGACCGGCCTTGTTGTATGGAGCGGAGTGTTGGCCAGTCAAGAACGCACATGTTCAAAAAATGCATGTTGCGGAGATGAGGATGTTGAGATGGATGTGTGGGCACACTAGGAGCGACAAAATTAGGAATGAGGTTATCCGGGAGAAGGTGGGAGTGGCCTCTGTGGTGGACAAGCTGAGGGAAGCGAGACTGAGATGGTTTGGACATGTGAAGAGACAGAGCGCAGACGCCCCAGTGAGGAGGTGCCAGGTGCTGGTGGTAGAGGGTACGCGGAGGGGTAGAGGTAGGCCTAAGAAGTATTGGGAAGAGGTGATTAGACAGGACTTGGCTCTGCTTCACATTACCGAGGACATGACTCTAGATAGGAAGGAGTGGAGGTCGCGTATTAAGGTTGAAGGTTAGTAGGGTTAGCGTGTTGTCTTCCCTTGCGAGGGTATGGGTTGTTAGCGTTTGGAGTAGTCCTAGCCTTATGTTGTTTACTGCGTTTCACTCCTCACATTACTTTCTTGATGTTATTGTCTCATTTGTTGATTATACACTATTTTCTGTATTGGTTGTTATGTTTTATATATTTCTCTCCTTTCACTTAGATTTGATGTACTTGAGCTGAGGGTCTCCCGGAAACAGCCGCTCTACCTCCACGAGGTAGTGGTAAGGTCTGCGTACACTCTACCCTCCCCAGACTCCACCTAGTGGGATTTCACTGGGTATGTTGTTGTTGTTGTTTGGTTGTTCTTCATCTTGCGAGACTCGGTGAGTTCATCTATCTTGAAAGCCAATAAGGGGTTTGGAACTTGAGACCTCTATTATGGAAGTCCAAAGCCAAACCATCTGAGTCATCCTGAAGGGTTTGAACCTAAGACCATGGACTAACCAAATTTATCTGACTGTAATCTTGATGAACGCACTAGATTCTGATAGGATGAACAAAGAAAGGTCTCGAAGAGGTGCAATTGGGTTCAATGTGAGGATGGTGGCTAGGGTGAAGTTTAAGGCTGGGGCTTGGAGAGCGAGGAGGAGGTTTGTAAGGGTCTACTGTAAGGATTTGTCAGTGGGGTCGGGTCAAATAATTCATCGGGTACCTTGCTTGGTGGTGCATGACAGTGCCGGGTTGGACTCTGACGGTGATCTGTGCTTGTTTTAAGGTGAAAATCTATTGAATTTTTAGGAGTAGTTTTTTGATATTGGCAAATGTAATGTGGTTAATTGTGATTGAATGAATTAAAGGTGGTCTGAGTTATATTTATTATAAGAAAGACTGATTATAAGGGTTCGTTGGTTTACGTTGTGTATAATTTTCTCAGTAGTTGTTTTCATGAGGTACATTGGTTATAACGCTAATAGCTTTTCCTCAGTTTTCTTGGTTTTATCTATTTTTCATTTGCTTTTAATAGTCCTTAGCATAATGAATGAAGTGGACATGAATGTTATGTTAAAAAGTAAATATGAATTGAGAGTAGTTATATACATCACTGATCTTGAGGTAATTGAGATGTAGAAAGACCTTTTAGTTCAATTATGGAATTTGCTTCTGGATCATTCTGTCGGTTCACATATTTGATTATTGACATCAGCCTGTATAGCTTAATTTTTTTTGTCCTGGTGCTCTGACATGTTTGTTTTCCAAGTCCTACCAAAGTTCTTTTTGGAGTATAAATTACTGGAAAGTGATACCTAGTAGTTCAAGGATTTGTTTAGTTCATGTGCATCTCTTGGTAGATGATAAGTAGACTGGCCAGTTGCTGATCATGTGTTAAAGACCTAGTTTTTGCTGAAATAGAGGATATCACCTTTCTTAGTGTCTGTATTCTGATCTTGTTAGGTAACAGACAACTCAGAGCAGACATGCCTGTATCTCTTCATATCTGGACCTACAGTCCTCAAACGAGTAATTAAGACTGTCACAAACTTGAAGGTTTAGATTCTTGGTCCTAACCGTGGCTGTTACTGATGACTTCGGCTTACTCTTAAAAG